AAATTATCAAATTAAAAATATAAATTTAATATGACGTTAAAAAAATTTTAGGAATCCGGTTTGATTCGAATCAATTCGATTCGATTCGTTCGGAGCCTTAATTGTGCCAGATTTGGTGACTTTGTCCCTATAAAAAATTTGGTACGGAAAATGTATGGAAAACTGTATGGAATTTTACCTGAAATTCGCATTTTTCCATACATTTTTGTACGGAAAAGTATAGTAGTTTCGGAATTTAGAATTTTAAAAATCAACTTCTGAAATAATTTGGCAATGCCAAATATTTCGGATATGGCAAACATCCTTATTTGGAACTTTATCTTTCATATATAAGCCTCTTTTCTTTTTTTTCCAATTCATTATTGTCAGTCCAAGTCAATTAAAGTTTTGAACTAATTAGTCTATCGCTACATTTTTTCTCTTGTTCTAAATCTAAATCACATTCCCATCCACTATCCTCATCATTACACCTTCTTGCAGCTCAATTTCTTCCATAAATGTTTGAAAATTGCTTGCCTCAACATCTTTTAATAAATTCAAATCAATTTCAACACCAGAGTTAACTTCTATTTTTGATTTTTTTGAACCAAACTTTCCATCTAATTCTCTTGATTGATTTTTGATTTTTCTTTTTTGTTTTGAAGCTAGAGGCATTTTTAAAGCTCAAATTCAGTCAAATGATGAAAATAAAAATATATAGTTTATTAAGACGCGCGTATTACATAAAAGAATCAGGCATCCCTATTGGACAGACATAAATTTGCCCCTGAAAATCTAGTCCGAAATTTTATATACAAACAATTAATAAAAAATACCCAACTTTGAACTCTAATAACTTTTTAAAAAATCACGTTAATACAGAAAGTAAACTGATAAAATAAAAGAAAATTTCTCATTTTTTCAGTTTATCTGTTTACTTTTTGGCTGTAACACAAATTGAAGGACTAGATGCAGTTAGAAGTTATGCTACATATGTAAACTCGATAAGTCAGTCACTTAATAAGTCAGTTTACTTGATAAGTTGCCATATGAGCTCGCCCCCACATGACCAACTTATCGAGTTTACATATGTATAATTGTTGATGACTCTAAATGGTCAATACAATTTCTTTTTGAGCTTAAACATAAAGCAACATCACATAGAGTACAAAATACATGTGAACAATTATCATTAGTTGTAGCATTTATTCCTTCTTCCTGCCTTTGATATTTACAATACTCGCATACAATCCTATTTTCTCTATATTCAGGAAAATGATTTCCTGGTGCCAGTCTTGCTAAAGAAATGGTTGATTTAGATGTAGTATAATGTCTTCTGGAAGAAGAAAAAAAAGATTTGTGGTGAATTTCCCTTTGATCACTTTCTAATCCTGATTTAATTAGATCCCATGCAATATGTAATCTAAAATCTTTATGTGTAATTTTATTATTATTATACTTTTTTTTATATATTAAATAAGAATTAATTATTGCAGTATCCAACAGCCAGAAAAGCATTGGCATCCAGGTTCTCCTAACTTTCTGTTGAATTGAATAATAGCTTCTCAGTTGGTCTGCAATATCAACTCCTCCCATAAAAAGATTGTAATCATTAATTATTTTGGGAATGGGCAATAGTTTCCTTGTTGAATTACCAAAAACACTTCTTACTTTTGCTCCATTTCTACTAGTTATTCTAGGACAACAACGTAATTTATTAATTCTATTTTCATTACCAGTAATCTCATGTATTGTGGATAACATTGTAACAGGACCATTATCCATCCACAATACTGCCAAAACATCATCAACAACTACACCAGAAAGTGTATCCCATTCTAAATTTTTATTTTTTATTTTAAGAATTGGTGGGAATCCTGATGAATTGGTACGAACAGTTCCGCATGCACCAATTCCTTTTTCATGTAAAAATTTAAATAATTTGATACTTGAAAAATAATTATCCATAAAAATATTGAATGATTGATTGGATGGTAGCTTTTTGATTAAATGATAAACCTGGTTTCCGATCTTATTGAGATGTTCAATTTGTTCAATTTCATGATCTTTTTCAATTCTGGAAGTGAACATGAATGAGTAAGTATAACCTGCATCACACAAGGCCAAAACCTTATATCCTTCTGGAGTAGGTTTGTTCTTCATTCTAAATGTATGTGCACTCCTGCCACAAAATCTAGTGATCATTTCATCAATTGCAACAATAGAAGATGGGATGTAAATAGATTGTGATACATCATTTATGTGAGATGTTAATGGTTCAAGTTTAGAATACCAAAATGGATGGTCACTATAAATGTCAGAAATATGCAAAAAGTTCTTAATTTTTTTAAATGTTTGCAGTTGCATATATGAGGTAATGGAATGAATTGGCATTCTTTCATCCTTATTCCAAAAGTCTTTAAAAGATGGAGTTTTGTATATCCCTGAATAAATAATAATTCCTAGCCAAGTCAAAAATTCATAAAAATCAATATCCATCCAAGAATCTTCTTTTTTTGTTTTCCATATTTATTAGTATTATTTACAATTGTTCTTAAAATTTCATTCGAAAAAAATAGTTTAAAAATATCATAAGGTGTGATGGAATCAAGAATACTGTATTCATATGGCAAATTTAAATGAGGCTCATTGTATAAAGGATATTGATGAGCAAACTTATTAAATGATGGTGAACTTGGAAGATTAATTTGTTGTGATTTTGTATTTCTATTTCTTCCACCACCTCTTCTATCACTTCTAGCTCTACTCCTGTTTCTGTTACCTCCACTAAATGTTGAAATTTCATTTTCTTCGTCAGTTTCATCTTCATCTTCTGCATCATGTTCAAAAACTTCATCTTGATAAATATCTTGTGGTCTTCTTGTAATGTTAGCAACATAGTAACCTGTTTCATCGTCAGAATCAATAACTTCTTTGAAAATATTTTCTTGTAAACTCATTTTAATTTTTTTTAGTTTAAAGCAAAATTAAAATAATTATCTGTTCCTTTTAATTGATTAAGAATTAAACTTTTAAACTGATTCAAACCTTGGTGGTATGATCCACTATAATAGTATTTTTAAATCACACCATTGAAATTTTGGATCAGGCAATATTAAAAAAAAATCATACAATACCAAATAATGTAATTGGAAATAGTGGTTTGTACTACATGAATAAAATTCCAAAAAAAAATACATAATAATAACAAGATTTTAATAGAGAGAGCATGCGCACAGCATAATGGACATTCGTTTTATCACTTTGTGACAAAATCAATCATTGATCTTTTTTATATTGTGAAACATGCTATTTCAATTGAGTTTAGAATAGAAATAGTCTCGTGACTGCGCACAAAACCCATTTTATGAAACACACACATTTTTTTACGTTTATATATATTTTCAACTTTTCTTTACATTCTGGCAATACCCGATCAAGTCGATCAAGTGGATTTAAGTAGGTTGTATTAGAAATGAAAGTTTAAGATTTCTGTGATCTATTTAAACCTGTCAACTTGGCAACTTTTATTTTTTTACTTTTTTATATATTGTTTTTATTATTATTGGCGATGTAACTAATAAAAAATATTCCTTTTTTTCTATTCATGATTGCCAATTGTGAGGCGCGAAAATTGTACAAAGTTTTTAATTATTTAATTCCTCCATTTTCTCAATTTCAAATAAATTCCCCCAATCCAAAATCAAGAGTATTGTTTTTTCGTAAGCAGACATTCTTATCACAAATAAATAATAAGGAATATATAATAATATTGTTTAAAAAAAACAATATAAATGTCGAATATATATCATATAATTCGAATAAGTGATAATGGCTGGTGTAAATCTTCAGATTATTCTATGGTTTTAAAAAATTAAAAAAGTTTTTTTATTTTTGGATTCTATATTACTTAGATTCTCTTTTATTATTAGGCGACGTAACACTTTTACATAATAAAATAAGGGGGCTTGCTTTGACTCATATTTTTTTTTTGTACTTTTTCATATAGATACCCAGTCGGTATAAATCGCGCAGTCACAGATAGCATCGATCAAACAATTTTCTTATTATTATCTCAAATGCATAAATAAAGAAGATCAAGATTCCAATGTATATCATGCAATTGTATATATGAAATTTTGTAGGGGCATAAATTTTATTTTAGACCTTAATATAGATCATGTTTAAGCCTAATAAATTATTATCTTTCAATTACGTTAGATGTAATAAATTTTTTTGTGATTATTCACCTCTTTTGTATATTACCACATATTTAAACTATAGCCATTTTTTTTGGCCTAAAAAATACCCCATTTTTTAGGCATTCATGACCCTTTTTTAACACTTCATAAAACGTTTCTGTATTTCTTCTAGTCCTGGCTTTCCATGATAAGATAATTTTCACCGCCTTTACAAGTTTAGAAAATCCTTCTACGGTCCTTGGTACCTCAATGTCTTGTAAATCAACTGTTATAATAGTGTTTTCAAATAAATATTTAGATGCAGAGATTGTGAGTTGAAATCCATTGGATTGTAAGCTATACGTTTCTATATCACTAACTTTAAGTTTTGCAGTAGTAGGAAGTGCAAAATATAAAACGGTCAAGATTATTTTTGTACAATATTCCAACTTTTTAAGATCGCCGGTTCTCTTGCCATGCGTATAATCAACAATTTCGTGGGTTAAAATTTTGTGTTATCAGAATGGTCTCTCCTGTAATAGTAATAACGTTGTATAATAATAACGAACAAATATTTCATGTGAGCCAAATGCTTTGGAAAGTTGTATTGTACCATCAGCAACTGACTTTGATAACCCAAAATCACCAAGTCTTATGTCTTCTTCATGAATAAAATATTGTCTGATGCTTTTATAAAATAATAATAAATTACATAAATTACACAATTATTATTTATGTTAAATAATGTATAATTGCCCAAATGCAAAATAAAGTAAAAATCCCTCCACCTATAAACACCCATTTATCTTGAGACATTCTACGCTCAATATACTGAATCACATTACGAGACAATCCGAGTGTATTTGCTGCGTCAAGCATTTTTCTTTGTGCGTTCTATTAATCAACCAACCAACCAACCAGTCAATATGTGTGTTATAATATATATAAAGTCTTTATATTTATTCCTACCTTTAATATATTATTTTGATCGTAAATATTATGAAGCACTTCTCTTCCATGTGCTATATATTCATCGAGTTTTGTTTCTGTATCATTTATAAATTCGTGTTCTCTTAAAGCATGTTGTTCCCTCGTCATATTATTGTTAACATGATTATTGATATTATTTTGGTATGGATGTTCCGGCTAAAATATTTGTCATTATTTATTATTACTCACTTTTAATGTATGTATATATATATTATAACCAATCAAAACAAATATAGATTACCGTATTTGTGTTATGTCTTCTTCCTAATAATTCTGATCTGTTATTTTCTGTAATCTATAAATATATAAAAGATTTATAAATATACAAGTATTAGATAATGATAATAAAATAGATAAATATTTATCG